TCACTCTGATTTTCACCCTAATTTTCACTCTAGCTTTCACTCTTTCACTCTAATTTCCACCTTGATTTTCACTCTGATTTTCACCCTAATTTTCATTCTTTCACTCTAATTTCCACTCTAATTTCCACCTTGATTTCCACTGATTTTCACCTTGATTTTCACTCTAATTTTCACTTTAATTAATTTTTACTCTGACTTTCACTCTTTCATCTTGATTTTCACGGATTTTCACCAATTTTCACTCTGATTTTCACTCTGATTTTCACTAATTTTCACTCTGATTTTCACTCTAATTTTCACTCTAATTTTCACTCTAGCTTTCACTCTTTCACTCTAATTTCCACCTTGATTTTCACTCTGATTTTCACTCTAATTTTCACTCTGATTTTCACTGATTTTCACTCTAATTTTCACTAATTTTCACTCTGACTTTCACTGATTTTCACTCTGATTTTCACTCTAATTTTCACTCTAATTTCCACTCTTTCACTCTGATTTTCACTCCAATTTTCATTCTGATTCTCACCTTGATTTCCACTCGAATTTCCACTGTGATTTTCACTCTAATTAATTTCCACTCTGATTTCCACTCTTTCACTGATTTTAACGTTGATTTTCACTCTGATTTTCACTCTAATTTTCACCGTTTTTCACTCTGATTTCCCCACAAATGAATTTTCTTGCCCCATCCAACCACCTCAAACATTCCTCCTCACTCCCCTCTCCTAACTCTATTTTTTCCAAAATTTTGAGTTCTCCATGAGAGCAGCACAACAACTTCCTGCTGCTGTTTTACACCAAGCCCTGTTAGCAGTGCTGGCAGCACCAGGTGCATTTTTAAAAGCTGTCAGGGAAAATGATTCACCCCCACCTTTTTCCTTCCTTCAGCAGCACTTAAAGGATAAATGATAAAAGCTGAGGTCATTCCTGGGGAGAAATGACAAATTTGCTGATAAGGGGGTGATAAAAAGCAAAGCATCATTTATCACAACTTCTTCTTACAGGAAATAGTTGGCAGCAGAGCCTTTCATAGATGACAGCACGTATTTTGAAATATGATTCAATATCATAAAAATTATCCAGGAAAATTAACCAGCTGTGGGCTAGCAAAGAATAAAATAAAGAATTAACAGCACTCAAATTGGACCTCAGCTCATGAGTGCTGCAATTTAAATGAATTTCTACTAGAAAGGAGAAATATTTATGTTCTTTAAAAGGTGGAAAATCAGCAGTAGAAGGAATGAAATGCACCAACTTCCTCAGATGTTTGTGAGCTGCTAAACTAAATTAAAAATTGAAGAGCTAAACAAAAAGCCACTTTGTTTTTACAAGCCCTGCAAGGAAGCTGACATGAGCAGGTTACAGGAGACACAAACTGGATATTTCTGGGTTAGTGCATGAAAACCCCCAATCCAGTAAGAAACTGGCAGCTGTGACAAAACCAAAGGTGAAAACCTGATTTAAATCAAAAAACAACACTAAAGCTTGCTGAGCGTGTGAATAATTGTACTCCAAGTGGCAGCATATCTTATTTTTATAAATAAATATATAAAATGAATGTATAAATAATGTAAAAATAAAATGTACAAAATTTATGTAGAAATAAAATGTACAAATATCTATTTTTTTTTTCAGCTCCAATCCCAGTTTTGTTCCTTTAATAGCTCAAATTGCACTGAGAGGGTTTGGAACACAGGAGAGGAGGAGGAGGATGGTTCAGGGCACTGATGAGGGCACCAAAATGAGGTTTGTGTTCTGCTGAGCTGGGGCAGGAGTGTGGCCACCCCAAACTCACCTGCTTGGCCTGAATCCCACACGGGATTTGATAATCCACTAGGGATTATCAAACCTGCTCCTGTCCATGGGCTGAGGAATTGAGCTGAAATTGCAACACCCAGCCCAGAGGAGCAGGGATCTGGACCATAAATGAAGGAATTGATCCCAAGTTTGGGAAAC